CCAGTACTTGGGGTGGTTTCCGGGGAGCAGAGCTTTCAATTTTCATTATTTCATCACAGCACTGCCTCCACTGACCTGAAGGGAGAGCACTGATTGTGGTGGGTAGGGCAGGACTGTGAGAGGGCCAGGCTCCCCTCCCCCTGCTACATTCCCTTCCACACATTCTTGAAATAGAGGCCTTCAGTAAAAAGAACAAGCTCCAATCCCTCCCAAAGGATTCAATCCAGCCCCCTTCTCTTACTCATGTCAAAGAAAAGCTGCCACAGAGCCTCCATCCAGCTTTGCAGGGCTCCCCGACTCTCTGCCTGAAGGGTGTGCGTCACCTCGGCCTCCCCACACTGGTTAGTGATGGTCAGGGTCGGGGGCCGGCCTGCTGCCTCGTCCAGCTCCCCTGCCCGGACTCGAGTCTCCTGCAGAAGAAAGATGGGGCCTGCTTCCACCTCCACCTCAGTCACAGAAGTTAGCAGTGACATCAGGCAGGCTTGGTCATCCCTGCCTTAGAAGGAGGAGCTTGTGGGGTTTTCAGAATGGGAAGGAATGGCAGGAAAGGATGGGGATGAGACAGGTGGTCCTTAGGGAAAGGGGAGCAGATGGAGACAGGGAAAGAGACTGAGCAAGGCAGGGAAGGCATGGAGGCAGGCAGGAACGCTGAGGCCTGAGGTTTTTTGACACTTCCATAAAAGTCAGCAGGGACACCAGGAAAAGGGCTAGGTAACAAAGAGGGTCCTTGGACTTGGGTTGGGAGAAAAATCCAGGAAAGGGTGTAGGAGATGCAGATTGGAACCTGAGGGGAAAGATGGAAGGTGGATGAAAAGTCCTAGGCGGGCCATGGAACTCTCTCTGAGACTTGGCAGAGGTGAGGCTGGTGAGTAGAAGGGACAGTCTTTTTCCAGTGATGCTGGCTGGGGAGAACATGGTCCCCTCAGCAGCCCTGGCCCAGAAGCTGGGGGTGGTGATTTAGGAGCAGGAGGCTAGCTTTGATCTCTCTGAGGTCTGTGCCTACCCTCCTGGGGTCTGACAGGCTCCCGAACCCTGGCACCTGCTGGCTTCACCACCAGGGACTCCTCACCTTGTTGATGACAATAGTAAACAGCGGCTCTTCCCCAGCATCTCCGTCTTCAGGTTGCCGGTAACACAAGAGGTTTGTTCCTTTCAGGATTCCGTGTACTCGCATCCAGTCCTGCAGCTCCCCCGCTTGCTGCGTAAATGACTCAAGGTTTCCCAGGGGAATCACAACCCCCCTCATCACCCTCCTTCCCAGCCCCTCAGAGAGAAACGGCTCCTTTCTGCCCACTCTCCTGCCTGACCCTCCCCTCTTCTGGCCATGCCTCTCCCCCCTCCACCCAGATCTTGCTTTTTCAATAGTCCTTGGATCCCTAGGTGATTCAAGGCTGCTCTGCCTTCTCCCTGTTCCCTTCCACTCCTCAGGGTCCCTCACCTGCACCCTGAGGGGACCACTTGCAGTAGGCTGAATCATGCAGAGAGGCTGAGCCACCAGGCGGCAACACACGCTACCATAAAGGGGCAGCCAGGCGGGGTTCTCCTCTAGGGGAGGAGGAAGTGCAGGATGAGGGTGGGGAGGGTGAAGGAGACCATCCAACAGCCCCTCTTCTCACCATCTGGCATCCCCCACGTACACACGTACTCACCATGGCTGGCGAGGGTGAGGTCATGGGTGCGGAACCCATCTTGCACCGCTGCCAGGGTGAGGGTGGTATGAGCCAAGAGGTGGTAACGAGGACCTCTGCCGGACAGAGAAGTGGGCAGCAGTCAAGTGAAGGGCGTGGACGGCAGGAGCTTTAAGGGCCTCCATGGTTCAGGCTGCCCTACAGAAAACCAGATTGCTTCCCCCACAGGGGTTGGAACAAACATTTACTGCACCCCTGCTAAGTGCCGGACCCTGTGCTTTAAGTATGTTATCGCACTGTATTCCCACGACAGCCCTGTGAGGTAGCATTCTTTAATGAATAGATGAGGCCGCTTGAGGCTTAATAAAGTTAAGAAATCTGCCCTTAAATAGAGCTTAGGTGATGGGATTGGAATTTGATTGTATGTCTGTATCCCAAACCAGCCTTCTGTTCGTTACCCCGAAGGTTCTCAAACTGCTCCTCCAAGGCCCAGTGATTCTACTCGGTGCCTGCAGGTGCCTGCAGGCAACACCACAGGACCCAGGCTACCCTGCTGCAACCAGGGGAGCCCTGTCCTATCGACACAAATGTATCTGCTGCTTCAAAATAGTGAGCAGCCCAGGGCCTCGCTCCCCCTGCATTCTCAGTTAGCTTGGGCCCAGCCCTGCAGGACTGAGCCCAGGCCAGAGTACTTCCCAGCTATGTGGCCACTGCTCATTCATTCACATCTGTCTGCATGTCCTGGCAGCAGTGCAAAACAGGCTCTGCGTGCTCAGCGTAGCTCAGAGGCCACCTGTGGCCAGCTGAGAGCAGTGGGGGATTGTCGGGCCGTACCGCGCAGTCGGTGTGGGGAGCAGGATGGGACTGCTCCCTGAGCCCCCAGCACTCTCCAGCGATGCCCGAACACGCCTCCCCGAGGAACGGCCCAGGGAGCTGCTGAGTTTGGTGGCAAGCCTCTTGGGGGCTCCAGCCAGGGCCCCCTCCTCTTCCACGCAGGCCCCATACAGCTCCAGCCGCAGTTCAAAGTCTGGCCCTGCCTCGGCACTATAGGAGTGTGGGAGGAAGAAAGAATGGTCCTGGGGATGTCTGGGTGAGGAGCACTGGGGCTGGAGGATGGCTGTGGTGCAAGCACAGGACAGCTCCTCTGGGACGGCCCATCTCCCCGCCTCCCTCTCCTCTCCCTCCCTTCCCCCGTAGCTACCTGGTCTCCTGAGTGGAGAAAGGAGGGAGCCACAAGGGATGAGGAACTCACAAAAGCACGTTGTTCTGAAAGGAGATGTCTGCGAGGGTCCTGTCCACCAGGACCATCTCTGTGTCCTGAATGTCCTCCCCCAGCTGCAGCAGCAGGAACACAGCCCAGCGGTGCAGGTCTGGGGACAGAGGGCAAAACTGGTAAAGGTGTGCCCCACAGGGGCCTTCAATCTCAGGGTACTCCCTTAAATTTGTCCTAGCATGTGTGGGACTCACCGCCTTTGTTCTTGAAATACTCTGTGTCCTTCCACATGAGTGGAATCCGGAGGTCTAAGGGGCAGAGGCAGGGATAGATGTTGTGATGGGGCAGGACATCTTGTCGGGCAAGGAGCGCCAACAGCTGGGGTGGCTGTGCTGCTTACCAGAGATGCAGACCCGGCCACGGCAGGGGGAGCGCTCAGCGGGTGGCCCACTGTCAGAAGGCCTGTGGGCAAATCACAAATCCTACCCTGGCCTCTAGACATTATTCCTCCTGGCTCTGGTCCCCAAGGGCTCTGGGAACCCTCCCAGGTCCAGGACCCAGCCACCAGGTCCCAGACAGGCTGACATGGCAAGGGCTGAGGGACTGTCAGGGAGAGCTGTCAGCAGCCCGGAGGTTGCTGGGCTGGGGAATGCAAGAGGGACTCAGCACACACACACCCCACACACTCAGGCAGCCGCCCCCAGGCTCCCTCCCTGACCACCTCCCCAGACCTCTGCCAGGGGCAGGTGGGGCTGGAGGGGACGGTGCCCACAGAGAGACTCCCTTTCAAGGACTCTTCTCCATTAACCCCCAGGCTTGGAGTTTGCAGGCTTTCCTTTTAGCAACAAAGGAGGCTGCCTGTCTTCACCATCTCATCACTTTGACAAAGAAAGGTACTGGGTCAGTCTGAAAACCAAGATCCCAAGGAGGGTGCATTTGTGTTCCATTTGCCACAAACCTCTCTCCATCCCCCCTCTCAGTCTTGCCTCCTCCTTTACCCTCCTGGCTGGGTGGGCTGAGCCTTCCCAGTGTCCCAAGTTCCCTAGACACCCCCCCACTGCAGGGGGGCACCCAACCTTCCTCCCCCCGCCCATCAGACTCACCAGGCACGTGTTCCTCTCCTAAGGAACTGTATTAATTCGTACTTCATTATATGAAATAAGTGACTTAGTACAGCCTTAAGCTAAACGATTTGGCACTGATGGCAATGTGTTTAGCTGCCAGGGACTCGAGGTATAGCTCAGGTCACGCTGTATGGGCCGTGTGGGGACTTGGGCAGGGCAGAGCCTGTCAATGGCTGCCTCTCAGGAAACAGCAAACTTTTGGTTCAAACTGTCCCCGTGCCTGCCTGCCCTTTCTCTAATGTGACAGAGCAGCCACAGGAGGTTTTCTGCCTTCCCCTGGTGTCTTCATGGGTGAGCTCTGGAGGGCTCCTGGCAGCCTCCCCTGTGTGCTGAGCTGGGATGGACACCATGTCATTGCGGGGCCAGGACTTTCTCCCACTCAGCTTTGTGGGGTCAAGCAGGCTACTTTGCCAGAAGCCAGTTTTCCGAAAGAGCAATTTACCAAAAATGGCCAGCTCTCAGAGTGATCAATTTGCCAAATATTTTCTCCTATGTTTTAGATTTACGAGAGCAGATTTCACTGCAGATTTGTTAGATCAGCAGCATCTAATGTCAGTGTAGGCTGCGAGTTGAGTCCTTTCGAATATACAATTTAGTTTATGTGAATAGGTAGGCATTCCCTTAATTTTTCCCCCATTATTTCCCTTCCCAGTCCCTGCCTCATCTCTGTGATGAGGTGAATCCCAGCTACAATGAACTATTTATTGTCAGTTAGGTAAACTGGCCACTTGGTGAACTGGCTTTGAGGAAATCAGCTTTCCAGAAGCCAGCCAGCCGGCGTCCTCAGATCACAGGCAGGGCTTAGCAAATGAGGGCGTTTGCATTACTGCCCCTCAGAAATACCACCAGCCTTTTACCAGATACACTGGCTCCCCTGAGCCCAGCCCCAGAAATTCACTGGTGGCCCTCTGGGCAGCACACTGTGGTGGTAAAACACCAAGGTGACTTCTGAAAAGTCTTCACGAGGACATCGGCCTCAGGGTGGGCCATACTCCATGTGCACACATGCCGCCCCGCTGTCCCCCACAAAGTCTTGCCCCCGCCCCGTGCTCACCGCCGGCCTGTCTTTCCCAGCACCTGCGCCTCCTTGCGCCGCTGCAGCTCGCCCATGTAGCTCAGGACGCGGCTGTTGCACACCAGCAGGCTCTTGGTGGCCTCCAGAGCCTGCTCTCGCTGGGAGCAGGCCGCCAGCAGCTTACAGGCCCCTTCCCTCATCCGGATCTCATGGTCTAGCTTCCTCTGCAACTCTGTGTCCTGGCCAGTCAGAGGAAATGGCAGTCAGAGGACAGACAGGCCAAAGCACCCTCCCATCTCCACGTGGGCTGTAGGCCCTGAGAAACTGACAAGAAAAAACTTACGTCCCAGGCGACTAAGGGACAAGGGTTGCGTCTCGATCTCAGCTGCCCAACAATTACCAGAGAAGCTTTGTAAAACCACAGGTGCCCTCTGGGAGTAAACATTTCAACAGCCTCATTTGAGCGTAATTTGAAAAAATCTGTAAAAACTCCAAATTCACATATCCTCTGATCCAGCTATCCAATATCCAGGAGTTTATCCCACAGGTTATCATCACACATGTGGGCAGAGCCATGTTCATTGCATCATTTCAAAACACCAAGATTATAAGTCCTTCAACAAGGCATTGGTTCAATAAGTCTCAGCACATCTAAACCATGATATGTGGAATATTCCGGACATTAAAAACTAAGGTAGACATGTGTGCAAAACTTAAATCATCTTCAAAATATATGAAATGAGTAAAAAAAAGTAGAACAATATAGCATGCTGCCATTTGTGCAGGATATCTATACATGCATATCCATATCAGTAGATATGCATAAAATAGTGGTTGTGGGGCCGGGAGCCAGAAATGATAAACTGATTTATGATACTTTATAAATACCCTTCTTTATTATTGTACTATTAGAAATTGTTACCTTTTAAAAACTTAAATCTGAGTTAAAAAAAAAATCACCAGGCCCCACCTCAGATCAGCAAAATGAGAATCTCTAAGTGCATTTTTGGGAAAATTTCCCACGTGACTCTGAGGTACAGCCCGGGCTGGAACCACCACCTAAAGGGAATGGCCACAGATAGTAAAGGCCATGCTGGGCCACCCCAAAGGCTCAAGTGATGAGAGAGGACATCTAGTTGGCAAGGGGTCAGCGGAGAAGGCGCAACCGCCTGCAGTGCTCACCCATGCTGCACAAGGACGCACTCTACACACCCCAGATTTGGGAATCTGCCACCTGCTGGCCCTCTGAGTTTGGGAGGTGAGGACAGAGGCCAGGAGTCGGGATGGGAAGGCAGGTGAAGCAGGAGGTCAGCAGTGAGGGGCTGAGCAGGCTTTGAGCACAATGCCCAGCATCTGATCTACATGAATGGTAGGGGTGCTTATTTCAATGACGCTACTTTGGCTCCAGTAGCATTCACCCAACAAACACTGGAGCATCTCTCTGCTGTGCAAAGCTCCACGTTCGAAATCGGCTGGGAGGTGAGAGGTGCAGACATTAATGGCTGCTCCATAAGTGCCATGTCATGGCACAAACACGCTCACAGGAAACAGACCCTATTTGCTTCTAGCTGAGGTGAACGGGAAGGCTTCAGAAAGGAGGTGAAAGACTAACCCCCTTACAGTGTACAAATCAGACAAGCCAAGTGGAGCCACCGGGTTGAAAGAGGAGGGCGAATGTGACTGCCCCAAACCAAAATCCATCTTCCCCCTCACACCAGCTCTCCCACATTCTGTGCCCTTGCTTCTGCCCCTGGTGGCCCCAGCCTTCAAATCTCCAAGCCGTGAGCACCCTAAGTTCCTGCTTCCAGGAATTGCCTTTTCCAGCATCCCTGCAGATTCTCCCTTCCCTACTTGGGCTAAGCCAGACTCTCATCACCCTCACCATCTACCTTTCCCTTCCTCACCCTTTAGAAATAGACCAACCCGGTCCCAATGCCCCCTCCCCCAGGAAGCCCTCAGACTACGCAAATGCCCCCACCCCCACTAAGTCCGCCTGCAGCAGCGTCCCACTTCTGCTGCGCTTTGCTGCTTGCCACCCCTCATCCCATTCTGCATCCAGCTTCTACACAAACACCCCAAACAGCTGAGGGGGTTGCAGCAGAGCAGCACCCCGAGGCCCCCTCCTGACTAGCCTCTTGGTCCCGGCCCCAGCACTCACGGATTCTTCCCTAGCCCTGGCCATTGCCTGTGCGGCGCCAGTGCGGCGCCAGTGCGGGCTGTGCACCGGCCAGAGGAGCCACCCCGCCCCCGCCCGCGGCGGCGGTGACGTC